GCTAAATGCAAAACATAACGTACACAAAAACAGAGAATAACAAAAAAATAGATACAGCTGCTGTTTGAGTATATTGCAATATGCACAAACACAAACACAGATGCCAAGCAAATACAACCCAAACTAAACCAAACCAAACCAAACCAAACACAACAATATTCCCTCAATATATATGCACGATATGCATCCTATTTAGATCCCAGATCCTAGTTGTTGATGATGATGATGGAAAAAATTAATTTGCAAAAATACCAAACATTACAGCAGCAGCAGCAGCAATATCAGCAGTTTTTTTTTTTTGTTGTTGTTGGAACGACTAAACTTTATCAATCCTCGTGCTTTGTGCCTTTATTAATGGTCAATTCATTCATTCATTGAAATGGTGATTCTACCACCACCGCCACCACCACCATCAACCATGTGATAATTAATAATTTTTTTTTTTTTGTTTTCTTGAATAAATACTTTTCACATTTATTCATTTTTTTGGGGGGGAGGGGAATGGATTGGTCTATGTTTCGATCGGATACGGATCGATCCATCGTGGATTAGCTTCAATGGTTGGAAAATTGATGACCATTTTTTTTTCTTCTACATATTTATATATAGTGTGTGTGTGTACAATGTTCTGATATTTTCCTTTTTTTTCGATCCATCCATTCAAAAGTTAATAAAATATGCATGCTGTTTATATATCGTTAATACTCGAGGTTTTTTTTCTGAATTAACCGGATTTTCGGGTTTGAGAATAAGAGGCGAATCCTAAAATGAAACAAAAAAAAAAAAAAAAAATAGAACCACTAAATAACCATTTCAATCAGTGTATTTGTTTGTTTTTTTTTCGAAGTGATAGAGTCTCTCTATCTATTGGATAGTAGCAACGAGGGAAAAAAAAGTTGTGTCAAAAAATACCGTTTTGAAAATTAATGGCATTTCCGAAATGGAACCAGGAAAAAAAACTGAATCAAACTGAAAGACCGCAGATTTTTGTTTTTCTCTTTACACACACACACACACACACACACACACACAAACGACAACTTGAATTGGATGCTAATGAAACAAAAAATATCACCAATTTTCATTGATTTTTTTTGAATTTTTAATTTAACAACAAAAAAAATGGTTTCAAAAATAATACTTGATTACCAAGTGTTAAATGTCACGTCATTTATTATTATCATCAGTGATCAACAACAACAACAACAACAACAACAACAATGATCACTGGATGTTAAATGAATGAAAAATTTATTTCAAATCCAAAAAAAGATATAGATGTGTGTGTGTGTGTGACCCAAAAGTGACTCGTGTCATTGTATCACTGCTGTTGTTGTTGTTGTTGTTGTTGTTGTAAACTTTTGACTTTTCAATCCAAAAAAAAAAAAATAAACCGAAAAACCGAACGGCTGCTCTGTACAATTCAAAATTTTAGAGAGCTTTTTCAGATTTTTTTTGTTTTGTTTTGTTTTGTTCCAATTTTATTTTCTACTAGAACAAAACCTGAACAGCAAACAAAACCGGATGGGAAAAAACCGTTCATTTTGGATGTTGATGTTTTTTTATTTTAAAATTTCAAAAAAAAAATTTTTGAAATAAAATAAAAGAAATTGAATTGATTCGATTTCATGGATCCGATTGAATTATCGGTGGCTTTTGAGGTGAAAATGAAAAAAAATACGCTTTGCACGTGGTGTCTGTCTCTGCTCTCTCTCTCTCTTTTCTGTGTACGTGTTTGCTGGCTGGTTAATTGATTAAAAATGTGTTATTTAAACACAACAATTTTTGTGTCATGAAAATGACCGTTAATCGAATACAAGGAATTGTAGAACAAACCGATTGAAATGAAAAAATAACGGTTATGATGAAAACCAAAATAAAAAAACAAACGTAAGCGATCGGGTTATTTTTATTTCCGCATTTAGGTCAATTTATTGTTTATGCTAAATCGAATGAATTGTTTTTTGTTGTGAATTGATAAATCGTTATGTAAAGAGCAAAACACAAAACAAAACAAAAAAAATTGGGACATTCAACCCATTGTTTGTTCCAAGAATAAAAATTTTTTTTTCATTCCATTTTTATATCGGAAATAAAATTCCGATTCGGTTATTATTTTAGATTCATTCGATTGTTGATGATGTTTGCAAGTTTTCAGTTTCTCATGAATTGTCATCATTTATTGACTAATTAATTTTACTTGTTCATTTTTTTTATAATCATCATCGGCCATCTTAATTCGGCTTTACAAACTGATTCTGACATGAGTATTTTATTCTTGTTGTTTTTTCATCCATTTTGGGGTTCGATCAATTAACGTTCGAACAACAACGTGAGGGAAAAAAAATTCCAAAGTGGTGGTGGTCCTTTGTACAGAATTTGTTTTCGACCGACTCCTGAGGAAGAATAGCCAACAACAACAACAACAAAAAACATATGAAAAGAAAACTAAAAATCAAAACATTTCTGAAACACTAATTCTCAAATTAAACAATAACAACAGCGACGACAATAGGAATTAGAGAGAGAAAAAAAACGTTAAAGTGAGATTCATTATGGACGACGACGACGACGATTCTTTTCGAGCTTTTTAGATTTTATCTTTAGTTTTCAGAGTGAAAAAAATTCGTCGGACATGCCATTGTCGAGTATTTAATTAGTGTGTGTGTTTGTGATGAGAAAAAAGCGAAAAACCATTATGGCCATTTTTTTGACATTTTGACTTTTGATGACCATCATCATCTTCTCTAATTAAAATTATTGATGATGGGCCTTCCATTTCAAATTTTTTTTTTCATCATCATCATCATCATCATCAAATTGGAAATAATTATCGAATCTTCGAGAACATATTCGGATCTTTTTTGTATTTGCATTGACGAAATATTTTTTCCTTCATTTTAAAATTAAATGAATGAAAATTAGATGAATGAAAAAAATGGCGATGGTCAGCACCTGGACAGCAAAAAAAAAGAAAAGTTTTTCCACCATTATTTGATTTGATGATCATTATGATGATCATTTCCTATTTATTTTTCAATTTGGTCATAATTTTTTTTTTTTTTGCTATTTTTTCAACCAAACAAACAAAAAGATGCCGACAATCATCATCATTTTGATGTATAATAGACTGCATATAGATAGTAGAAGAAAACTTTTTTTTTTTCCATTCACACATTTTCTATTCGAATTCATTATAAAGAATTTGCATATTAAAAAAAAAAAAAAAATACACACACAGAGAGAAAAATTTAATTATTCATTTAGAATCTTTTTCTCTCTCTTTTCTCCATAGATTTAATTCATTAATAAAAAAAAATGCCGCCATCTTTTAACGTTTGTTTTTGTTTTGTTTTTTTCAAATTGTTGTTGATTGATCAATGATTTGCAAATTTAATTTTTTTTTCCATTTTGCATTGTTGAATTTTCGAAATTTTTTTTCTTTTTTTTTTTTGTTTTGTTTGATGATGAATTGTTTGTGTTAATTCAGCGCACACTTACAGAAGGATTTTTTTTTCCTCATTGATCCTCTTAATATTCGGCTTTTTTTTTGATGATTACCGATGATGATGATGATGATGATGATGATTAACTGATGGTGGTCCACGCTGTTTTTTTTATCTTGGTTGTTTGACCAATAATGTTGTTGTTCTCAATTCGATTTTTTTTTTGATTAATAAAAAAAAAATTTACATTTATCGAATTTGGGATGTTAAACGTTGTAATCTTTTCTATCATTTGGGTTGTTTTTTTTATTGTTTTTTTTTTTTGCACATTTAATCTCGATTTAATATTCAATATTCTCAACCCATCAACACGATCCATTATCTAAATGAAAAAGGCGTCGTTTGACATTTTCATTCTTTTATTATTCAGATTCATATTCTGAGACTAAACATAGTAGTAGTAGGTACGCACATAAACATAATTAGTTTTCTATTTTTATTATGGTGGCCAATCATTATCGATTGATTAGATTGGATCGTATCCAAGTTTTTTTTTGTTGTTGTTGTTGTTGTTGAAATTAATGAATCGCTTCAATTAGTTCGATGAAGGCGAAAACAAAACAAAACAAAAAATCTATAGATTTATAATATAAAAGTTTTTTTTCATATTGATGAACCTGGAACCACCACCATTGTGATTCGATCACCATTGATTCCAGAAATGTTTTTCTCATTTTTTGGCCACATTTTGAATAATTATTGTCGTTTGTCGTTTGTTGTTCATTATTGATCTCGATTTGCGTGGATACACCAAACAACAACAACAACAACAACAAAATGAATGAAAAAAAAAAAAGCCATTTATTAATTGCATTAATAAATGTCAATTAGTTTACATTTTCATTTTCATTTTCATTTTTTTCGGCTATCATTATCAACCACCCCCGTCCGCCGCGAGCACACACACACCCAAAATCATCATCATCATCATCATCATCATCGTTGTTAATTGTCAATAAGTTTGTCGTAATAGAGTCAGGCAATGAAAACATTTTGTTTGTTTGTTCGCCATTCACAAACATTATTATTATTATTATTATTAATATCACATGAAAGATCGAAATTTGAATTTGAATTTTTTACATATGACAAAATGATAATATTAATGATGATGATGATGATTATTATTATGAAAAAATTGTGGATGAATAATCATCATCAATAATCGATTAATTAATTAATTAATTGATCGATAAAACAACGGGATATAATGATTGATGACTATTCTATTTTGGTTACCCTGGATAGATGAATTTCGTTTTGTTTTGTATTTTCGATATAAAAAGTTGCGAAAAATGAATTGACTTGTGCAAAAAACATTACGTGCGCGCATGACTATTTTGTTTTTTCTCCATTTCATTTGAGTTTTAATTGCAATTTTAATTTTTTTTGGCTAATAATAATCGAATTTCGATTTTCCGTAACATTTTAATCGAGCTAATTATGACAATTTCATTTCATTTTCATTTTTTTTCATTTCATTTTGAATTTTAGTGGCTCAGCACACTCACACACACATAACGCAGAAATAAAATAGAACAACGAAAAAAACGAAATTCTCAAATCGTGACTGCAGTATTGTTTTGTTGTTGTTGTTGTTGTTGTTCTTGTTTAAAAAATTCATCATTGATCATCATCAACAAAGAATCGGCCATTGGTAAAAACATCCAATCAACTCTTTCTGGTAAGTTTTTTTGAATGTTTTCTAATCGACAAAATTTTTTTTTAATCATTTTTATTGAAAAACATTTTCTGCTGTATATAACTGTTATATAACAATTTAAATTCAATTAGTTTTGATTATGTGACAGCTAAATTGTCGTCGTTGTCGTCATCATCATCATTGTTGTTGTTGTTGTGTAGTAAATCAATCTATTTTCCATTTCAATCTCCAATGTGTGTGTGTGTGTGTTTAATTACGACAACAACAACAAGAATGACATTTTCGGATTTTTAAATGAAATCTCCGGTCCAAGGGTGATCATTGTGTGTGTGTGTGTGTGTATGTGTTGATAAATCTAATCATTCCAAAGAATGTGACATATAATTGCAATGACGACCAAATACCAATAGCAGCAGTACTTTGCATTTTTACTTTTGTTTGTTCGTATCCATTATCGTTATTTTAATTCAAGTTTCATTTAGATTTTCGTTAATGGTAAAAGAAATACAAATTCACTACCCATTGTATTTGTCGAATCTATTTTTTTCCGCCATGTTAAATTGATGCCAATTAAAACATCATCATCATCATCATCATCATCAACTCTCTGGCTAACGACGACGACGACGACGACTGTCGAGATGAATAAAAAGTTTGATTAATGTTGAATGAATTTTATTAGTTAGTCAGATTGATGATTTGTGATAATAATAAAAGATCAATAAATCTGGTGAAAAAAAAGACAATCTCAGTATGGATACCATTTGATCAATCACAATTAATTCCAGTAATTGACAATAAAAAAAATGCATATTGGATATTACTAATTGATAGGGTTCAATATAGTTTCAACTCTAAATAATAATAATAATGTGAATCATGATTGAACTTTGATTACTGAGATTTTTTTTCATCATCATCATCATCATCATTACACACAAATACAAATACAATACTCTTGTTGTTGGAACAATGTGTGTGTGTGTGTGTGTGTGTAGAAACGTGCTATGAATGTTGACATGTTTTTTTTCTGAAAACCAAGAATTTGCTGTTGTTGTTGTTGTTATCGTAGTTTTTTCTTGGAACCTTGTTCTCTTCTTTGATTCTATTCTTTTGGTCTGCGAAAAAAATTCGGTTTTTTTAGAGCCAAAAGAAAAAAGTTATTATTTGCTGTTGGAACCATTGTTTGTGTGTGTGTGTGTGTGTGTTGGGCTAATTGATCCAATTTCATTTGGCCTTTGGTTTTAATTTATTGGTCCATTTTCTTTTCTCTCATTTATAAATTTGCCATTGTCGTTGTCGTCGTTTTTTGTTGTTGTTGTTGTTGTTGTTTCTATCCATCATTTTATTATTACTACCTATGAAATCGAATTTGATCACAATCGATTCGAATCGATTCGATTGCCTCTCTTTTTTTTCCTTTTCCCTTCCTATGTCTTGTTCTGTTATCCGAATATTATTGTTCGGAATTCATTTTTTTTTAAATTCTCTTCATTTTCACTCGCCCCTTTTTTTGCCTCGGTATTATGCCATTAATTTGGAATTTAATTTGAAACTTTTTTCTTCCAAAACATTGTGGATGTGTGCTGCTACTACTGATTCTGTTGTGTGTTGGGTGGTATAGTTGAAAATGAAATTTTTTGGGGCCACCATCATCACCACCACCACCACCACCACCGCCTTCATTTGATCCATTCACGCTGATGAAATAATTTATTTTTTTTTCTAAAATTAAAAAATTTTTTTTATTTTCGAAATTAATGTAATTTGATTTGTTAACTGTCGTTTGTGCTGGGTGTGTGTAGTTAGGCTGCCGTTACTCGTTTTCAAAATCAAACTGAATGGTCAGTGAAAGAGAGAGAGAGACAGATAGAAAACCTATGACAGTTTTAATGGGATTTGTAGAAAACGACGGTCACTATTTTGATATGAAAAAAAAACTCTATTGCCTTTCCTTACATGTTCTTTATCCCATCATCTATTTTCGATTTTTTTTTTTTTCACTCAATTTCGATTGTCGTCGAATTTGAAAAAAAAAAACAAAATTTGAGGGTTGTCATGGATTTTCAAAAAAAAAAAAAAAAAAAATAAAAAATTTCCGATTCTCTTAGATTATAGACATCCAAAAAAAAAAGAAAAAGAATTTTTGCTTTTTGCTTGCCCCAATTATTATTATAGAATTTTTAATTTTCTAAATGATCTAATCATCGTCATCAGTCCCAAAGTAGCAGCAAACAGTAATGTTATCTATTGACAATGAATGACGTTTCAAAGAATTTAATAGTGAAAAAAAAATTTTACAATTGCAAATTTATCACACACACACACACTGAAAAAAATATGATAAAGTTTTCACTGTGCCAACTCTGGAACATTATTGGTCATCATTAATGATTATATTGGCTTTTTTTTGTAGTTTTCGTTGTTGTTGTTGATTTTGAACAACAACAACAACAACAAAATTTTTTATTTTCCATTAGAATAAGTGATTGTTGTTGTTGATTATTATATCCATCCACAAATAAATATAATTAAATGTTGGATAAGTTTTGATTTTGATTTTTCTTTTTTTTTGTTGTTGTTGTTGTTTGGCGTCAGCTGCCAATACACACACACTATTGATGATGATTACATCTCATCGATTATTGAATTTTTTCTTTTTTGTTGCACAAATGGCTAATAATATAGTGATGATGATGATGATGGAGAAAACTTTTGATTGTTTTGTTGTTGTCGTTGTTGTTGTTGTTGTTGGCTATTTTTTTCAAATCCAGGCTTTATCGATTATTCAAATGAGGCCGCCGTAACGATGGTGGTGGTATATTCAAATCAAAGATTTTTGTTTCTCGATTCATTGAAATTTTTTTTCCAGTTTTTTTTTTGTTTGTTTGTTTCCTATTTTTGAATCTTGTCCAGGTAAAATTGGCTCATTAAAACTACGCTAATACAAATATTTGACTTTTTTTTGCTGGATTTTAAAATTCAAACTCAAGAGTTTGACATCGTTTCGTTTCGTTTCGTTCATTGATGAATGGAATGGAATGAAATCGTTTTTTCTAGCTTGTAATTTTTAATTGCAACAAAAATCAGAATGAGCTGACTTGGTTTTTTTTTTTGTCTTTCCGTCTATGATGCTTTCATCCACACACCACCACCCCTCATCCACTCACATCAATGTTTTGATGTGTTTTGAATATGAATCATATCGTATGTATGTAGTAGTAGTGGTGTGTTTGCTGTTCATTATTGTTATGAATGACAAATTCTGGAGTGGAAAAAAAAGATATCTGAATAATCTGTGAATGTTTTAGCCAATAACGATGTTGATGATGATGATGATGATGATGATGATGATGAAAGAAAAAAATTGGAAATAAAAATGATGATGGTAATTCGAGTTTTTTTTTGACAAAAGTAGTGTGCTAAAACGAACCGATCCTTGGGGTAGAGTGTTGGGGGGTGGTTGTTTCATAGAACAGAAAAAAAACGAAGTATCCGGATATGCAATTGCAAGCTTTTAATGTATGCACACCATACACACACACACACACACATGGAGAATCAATTCATTTTCAAATCAAACACACAGAGAAGAAGAAGAAACAAATGAACGAACGAATGAATGAAGGAAAAAAATTCGGATAAAAACTATTCCATTTTCTATTACCATATATTATTCTCTCTCTCTCTCTCTCTCTTTGTGTGTGTATGGGTTTCTTTTACATGCTGTTAGCATTTTTTTCATTCATTCATTCATTCATTTGATGATGATTTCTCTAGATTCATTCATTCATTTGGATGTATTTTGCATGTTTGTTGTACAGAATATCCCACACACACACACACACCACACACACACACACACACACACACCACATAAGTGTCAATAATAATATTGGAACCTCAATTCTATATAACGAGGTTTAATATTGTATTGTAGATATACGCACGCCAATAACCATAACCATTTGCCACCGTCGTTTATAACATGATGATTACGATGTGTTTGTATGTGTGTGTAGCCTTGATGATGATGAATGCACTGCCAAATTGATTTAACTAATTATAACGGGCTTTCATTTTCTCATTCTCAACAGAATGAGAAAATGAGAATTCAAAAAAAAAGAAAGAAAATGAATTGGAATCGTCCAAAAAAAAAAATTATGATTTGCGTTTTTCTTTTCCTCTCTAGCTACCTTCCCCCCATTCATTTAGGTCTTACTTGCACATTTTAGGATGCAATTTTTTTTTTCTCCGCTTTTGTTGATGATGATGATGATGAAATGAATGCTCGACCCAAATAGACACCACACACACACACAATACAGAATGAATCCCATTAATAGCTTCGATTCTTGCTTTTTTTTGTATGCATTCCATATCCATACATTCTCATCATCATTTGGACTATCCCTGTGTCTCATTTTCATCATCATCATCATCATCAACAACAACAACGAGAATAATATTCTGGTTCAATGCCATCATCATCCTCATCAGCCATCACTTGTCACTTTTTTTTGGTCTATTTGAGGTTCCTTTTTTTTGATGAGTTACACACACACACACACACATACACATTTGTGGGGGTGGTGGTGGTGGTGGTAGTTTCTCATATATTGTGATTGATTCACTATTTTTTGATATTTGATGATTTTGTTCTCCTTTCTACCTTTGTTTGAAAAAAAAATCAAAATTGAGTATCGAGGAAAACAAATCTCTCAGTGACAGATGTATGTATTCCTGTTTGATGATGATGATGATGAATATCTGATCCATTTTGGGTGATTCTCTACATGCAGATATTGGCAATTTTTTTTCGGTTGTTGTTTTTTTTTTGTTTTGTATTCAGAGACAATTAGTAG